TTCTTTTTGTCTTGTAAGGTAGGAGTGATGACTGGAGAGTAAAAAAAACATAGCAAGTAGGTTCTGAATAGATGATACGTGTTGAAGCACAGTAAAGATGCAGCAAGTGCAGTGTAGATCATTCTAAAGTAAGCATTTTAAATAGCAAAAAGAAAAGGGTACTTTAATTAAATCAAAAAAAGTCTGGTGGTTAAGTATTAAATATACGTGGACGAACTTCAGAATAATTATATTAGAGCGCGATTCGAGTTACCAGTTTGAGGCAAACATAATCATCACGTGATTATATACCTCACGTGACTTTTAACTATGTAGTTTTTCACATAGCGATGATAGCTTGGCAAATTATTGGCAATTATCTTTACAGTTGGTGCAAAGGATAAAAAAGGTCTACTATCAAGCAAAGATTTTCAAAATATACGGTTCATTTTTTTTTAGCTGTCAAGAAATATAAATTTATTTTTCTAAAACTTTCACATTTATATTCTATTAATGATTTTTTGTAATATTTTCCCGCCAAAAAGAACCGAAATAAAATATTCATTTTTGTATGAACTTTTTTTTTGTAATGTTTTATTCTATTTCATACAAAATTATCGCAATTATAAACAATAAAAAAACCATTTCTTTGTGTATGTTTATCTTTAGCAAACGCATAGCGAAATAATTGCATGATTTGAGAAGAATTTTTCGGAATGTTCAGAATTACTTCGTAACATATTTATATTTTGTAAACAAATGAACCAGGTAAAATATTCCAAGCGGTGATACAGCGACAATTCTAGAACAAAGGCTGGGACATGTTTGGTCCCAATTTTCTGTTTAATTAAAATATTGGGACGCCCTCTATTTTTATCACTCTCATAGAACTTCTTTTCAATTCCTTCTATTAGCTCACACTCTGGCTATATATATATATATCTTTGTTCAAACTTTGCAATCGTTCATAAAACACTTTTCATTCATCCACTCGAGTTCAAATGCATTTTTAAACTTGTAGTGCATGACACTGGATGTTAATGCAGTTTTTCAAATATTAATTCAATAATCAAATTTAATTCATTAATTTCAGTTTTTAGATTTAAGTTGCATATATCTACCCATGAGGGCACCAGATAAACCTAAAAATGAATGAAAATTATTTATAAAGGAATTTCTGCGATAGAGTGAAAAAAAAGTAGGAATTGACTTAAAAAATTTTTTTCATATTACTTGTTTTATTATCTTTTTTTTTCTATCTTATTCTCCTCTTTTTTTTTTGGACATTGCCAATGTGTTTAATCTCAGAAGTTTGTCATCACAGGAGATGTAGTCTTTAACGGGAGTTAGTGCACTCAACTCGTCAACATATTTTATGAAAACTCAGTGGGAAGGACCCATTCTGCAGGGACCATAGTCCTTCAAAAATGACGACAAAAAAGGGCACGGTTCCACCGCCTAATGGTTGCTACTTTGGAACGCTAATTCCACTGGACTAATTTGTCTAGCAAGGTACGAGATATTGAGCACGTTCTGAGAGCGCCCATAATGAACAGGAACAGAATAATTACAACAAGAAGGTTTTTGAATCTCAGAATATGTAATCTAGCAAAATTATTACAAAATTTAGAAAAACTTTTGAGAATAATATTTCTGATTTTGAGGATTCCAATTGAAAGATAGATATTTAATTTTTTTCTTTCTTATCTCAATTGGTAGACAGCAACATCTAGATCAAAGTTCAAAAAACCCATGTCTTATGGAAGGAAGGAAGGGAAAGGGCCGTTTCTATTGTGATGGACAACCCGTAAGTAGAAGTCTAATTTTAGCTACGTGTCTGAAGAAGGATGAAAAAGAACCTTCTGGGAGGACTTTTAGGAAACTACTCCGCATTTGAGTATCCTATTAAAAGAAAACCCTGTAAAACTCCACCAGGTAGTCCGACTCACGAGGCAAGAGGCTGAATATCACAAACGCCATCGAGTCTCTTCTTTTGGAACAGTTGCAGACACTGGAGGAGGATACAGCCACCGCCTTAATGCTCACCTTAAGACACAGCCTCACAGCTGCTACTGAGCCACGAGTCGGTAGAGATAGATGCCATATTTTCTAAAGAACCAAAGAGAGTCAGCAATCATTTTTCATCGAAAACTTAATATGACTCTCATTCTTCGTGCAATTCATAGGATACTTGGAAGCAGAATCCCAAACCAGGTCTGATACCAGTTATAGCGGAACGTATTAACATATGCAAATTATTAATTTAGTTTCAAGAGAGTGTAGATAATTTCGGTTAATGACAGAATACATGCAAAAAGCAAATACTATATTCATGCGCTGTTCATACTATATTCATACTCTTATTCATGCGCGATTTTAATCAGGTTAGTCTATTATTCAAGATATTAGCTCTATTCACTCGGCCACCAGGCCCCATACGCAAGGTCGTCAACGACTGGATTCGAACCAGCAATCTTTCTGATTCTAAATCAGACACCTTATTCATTAGGGCCACCTAGACTAATTTACGATAAAACAACTAGAATTATCTTGTTTTTGTTTTCTTAAATGCCATACATTTTTTCATATCATCATGTGTTTTCATGATGATATGAAAAAAAAAATGACATTAAGAATAGGTGTGTTTTTAGTCATGGTTTAACTTTATATTTTCTCTATTAATTTCAAACAAGTATTCATGAATATATATCAAATACAATAACTCATGAGAAATGATATATAAATGTCCAATTTTTCTCTCTCTACGTTTGGATTCCATTAAACCACCATTAACTTCAAAATCGCCAAGATCATCACTTCATCTTTGTAACCGAAACCCGTGTCCCAGACATTTGAATGTCATTCTGTTTTTGCTTGTGACAGAAAAAAAGAATGCCCTAACAATTGCGGTCTAGACGGCCTTTATTGGTATTGGTATGATTTGATGCCTACTCATGCGTCACAAATGAGCCCTGCTCACGAAGTTGAATGGAGAAAGGGGTTTTTTTTTTTTTCTTTCCTTTTCAACGAATTTATATATTGGATGTTATGTGATGTAAATGTTCATGCTATTTATGAAATGGGTTTTTAATTCTCATTGTTTTCTCTTCGATTCGGAACAGAGGTGTCGTCGTGTTTGTATTGCAGAGCTTCGAAAGTGATTTGAACGAAGTGTTTAGTCTGCGGAGAGAGGATTTTGTTATTGTTCTCGCCCATGTAAATGTTGTTCCGTAAAATAGTTTGAAGTTTTTTTTTGCTCATCAATCTTACTGGCATGCTTATAAAGAAAAGGAAAAGAGAAATGAAATATTTTTTATTAAGAACTGTTTTTTTTATTGGTAAGGAATTTTAATTGAAATTGTCTTATAAATATTCTGCGATATTTGATTTTTTTTGTAAGTTTGACAAAATAAGGGTTTATAATTTCGATGCCAACTGTTGTTGTATCTCTCTCATGGAAGGAGAAGCAGCTTCTGTTGTGATGGAGCACCCGTAGGTAGAAGTCTGACTTCTGCTACGTGTCGAAGGAAATGAAGACGGAGGGCAGTGGGTTCCCGGAGGATATTTAGGAGAACTACCCGCATTTGTGTATCCCGTACTCCCACAAAAGTAGTCCGACTGAAGAGGCAAGATGCTCCTAAACACCACAAACGCCATCGAGTCTCGTCGTTTTTGAACCAGTGTCTACAACAAAGCCGCCAGCTAATTGAACCTCAGTCCTATTGCTCTACAGCGGCAACGCGTTGTCACTGAGCCGCGAGTTGGACTCTTATGGCTTGAAAAGGATAACATTTAAAATTCAATTTTTTTCTGATTTATTTTTATTTAGGATACAGTCAAAAATATTCTTAAAATAATATAATTATATATAAATATTCTTATAATAGTTATAATTCTTATATATATATATAAATATTCTTATAAAAATATCCCGGGCAAAAGTGTTCTTATTAGCTATTTTCAATTAATCGTTTCCTTGTTTTTGACACAATAGGGAGTTTTTGCATACCACCGTATTTTGGACGCCCGTTAGCTTTTTCTCTAGCGCGCATGCTCATAGGAAATTGCGCATGCGTATTTGTAATAATTTTTTCTATGAGCATGCGCTCTAGGGGAGAAAAAAAGCTAACGGGCGTCCAAAATACGGTATGCAAAAACTCCTAATGTTTACAACAAAGCCGCCATTGGATTGAATCTTACGTTCTAATGCTCACCAATGGCGCACGTTGCCATTGAGTCAGGTTGGCTACTAGATGAGCTAGTGTCTATGAGATTTCCAATATTAAAAAATTCTATTGCAGCCTCTGAGATTCCTCCGTCTGTAAGTAATGGTCTGTGGAATTGACTATCAGGATATAAAATTGTGAGTAGTGGATGCTAATTTGTCCGAAATTAGTATACAATTATTTGTTGGTTTTAAAGGCGTCTGACTTCAAAAGTTTGAGAATATAAATTGTTTAAAAAATCTGGAATAATTAAATACCACTAAAACGAATAAAAACATAAATAATAAATTGAATCAATTAAATGTTGTTTATTTTTATACCATAAAATCGCTCCTATTTTTATCTGGTCTCTCATCAAATATCAAGTTAAAAAATGCAAATGAATATTTTTTTTTTAATAAAAGACTGAAATTTCATAGTAAAATCAGTGCCAGTGTTCAGATATTTGCAAGTTGATATTGTAACGTGGCTTAAACAATTTCTTAAAATCCTGATTTCCGAACATATTTATGTTGGTACTAATCCCCCTGGTGCAGGAAAGCCTACACCAGGTCAAAAGACCGATCGCAGGCGACTGGTTCATGGTTAAGGGCAATATGCAGCTTCACGTTTAGAGGAACCACGAGGGCCGAAGACTGACTCAACCTCAAGACAACTCTCTACCATCCTATTATTAAGCAGGAACCTACGATTGGTCGTGGCGCTTACAACCCTACACCGTGAAAAGAAAAACATATCCTGTCTCGAAATCCGCCAGTAGGCAGACGGCCTTGTGTCGCCATGGGCTATTGCGCCAGTGAAAAAGTTTAAGCAAATATTTTTTCTGCGGTCTGGACTGGAGATAGACTGGACCATCAAGTCTATGAATCGCTCTTTAAATAACTCTCCTATTGGAGAATTTTGTTTTGCATTCATTATTGAAAAAAAAAACGATTTTAAGTCGAGTTCTTTCTTAATAGTAAAAGAAGAAATGACTAAAATCGTTTTTTTTTCAATACTATTTTTAAACATGGTAAAAAATTACATAGTACATCGTGCAATACAATTATACTTGTTACATCAAGTCTTATTACATCATCACATTCAAATAATTCGAGCAACTTTTTTTTAAAACAAGTAATATAAAAAAAAAATTTAAGTCAATTCCGGCTTAAGTCAACAAAGATAAATTTTATTTTAGTTACTTTTTTATTAAATAATCACAACTAATATAAGTTTGTATATATACATATGACAGAATCATAATATTAAGTGCCAAAAATAGAAAGTGAATTTCCTCCTCGCAATTTTCACTCTCACTAATAATATAATCATACTCAATACTCTCACTCAATTTATTCACATGTTTCATTTTTCATTTTGTTCCTTCCTTGATTCAGACTAGAACCCAGAATGAAAAAAGGAATTTTTTTAAAAAATAATTTTCCAGCGATCTACACGCTTCGCCACCGAGGGCATTTATTCCTAAATTTTATAACCTGCTAAATATCTTATATAAGAGAAATTATTTTCTACCGTATAAAACTAAAAATAATGAATTAAATTTAATTACTGGATTAATATTTGAAGAAACTGCATTAACATCCAGTGTCATCCACTACAAGTTCAAAAAATGTATTTGAACTCGTGTGAATGAATAAGAAGTATTTAGTGAACGATTGGAAATTTGAACAAGGTACATATAGGGAGAGTGTGAGCTAATAGAAGGAATTGAATAAATATTTCCATGTTCAACCTTTTTCAGTACATACAAGTTAACATACTATGCAGAGGAATCAAACGTCCATATTTATGGCACAAACACTAAAAGAATAGAAACACTAAAACACACGAAAAGAAGCAAATAGATTCAATGTTATGGTTAAAGATTCCCATTTATTCCGCAGTTAAGCATCAGTAGCAACAAGCTTTCGTTTAATAAATAATAAATATTTCGGACCAAAATCTTTATTGTTCTTGCCTTCATGTCTTTTGATTCTATGGCTACATAACGCAAAAAGTGGAGTTGCTTTTTATGCGCATTTCTCATCACTGGGTTACTCATAGACGGCGTGAATCTCTGTGTGCGTTGCCGTAAATGTGTCTAAATGTGCCGTTACTGTTACGAGAAGTGGCCGTCGTGGTCGTGTCAGAATCCCGGCGACGTCATCTCATTGTTCGTGGGCTTTGAAGGCCGCCATCAGAAGAGTGAAGAGTTGTCAGTTGGGATTATTTCTAATCAAGTACAAAGTGACAGATGGCGGAATTGGACAAAATAAACTTGGAGATCTGTCCAGTTGGAAAAAGATCTTTATGGGTTTAAATTTAATTTATTATTATTTATGGTTTTATTCATTTTTTTTGGTGGTTTTTAATTATTTCAGATTTTTAAACGATTTAAATTCTCTAAGGCAATGGTTCTCAAATTTTTTTGATGTGAAACGCATTTATAAACCTACAAATAATTGTGCTGTTGTTGTTGTCGTATTTGTCATGGAAGTAGGAAGAGGGTTGCAGCTTTTGTTTTTGATGGAGCACCAGTAGGTAGAAGACTGACTTCTGCTCCGGATAGCTGAAGAAGGAGGGTAGTATCTGCCGGCAGGATTTTTAGGGGAAAATACCCGTAAACGTGTAAGTTATAGAAGAAACTCGTAAAACTCCCACCAGGTAATCCGATTAACGACGCAAGATGCTGACGAGTCTCCTAGTTTTTCGAAACAGTGTTTACAACCTCAGCCCTAATGCTCATCAACGCAGCGCACGTTACCACTGAGCCACGAGTCAGTCAATAATTGTGATCGCTCTGTATACTATTTCTGACAAATAAGCATCCGCTATTAATGCCTCACAGTTTTATATCCAGATGGTCAACTCCACAGGCTATTACTTACAGACGGCAGAGTCTCAGAGACTGAAATAGAAATTTTATTTAATATTGGAAAATCACTAAGACGCCAGCGATTCTAGTAACCCACCATGAAAATTACTGCTTCTAGTTTCTAGGAAACTTTCTTTGGCGCATTATTGCTATTTGGCGACTTTATATGTGAGGAAAAAACAAGAAAGTTTCTTGTTTGTTATGAAAGCTGTTTTCGAATGGGAAAACTGACAAGCAAAAGAATATCTATGTTTATTTTTATATCTGAGCACATCACTGGAATACCACAGGGGGCACTCGGTACAAAATATCGGGAAATCGGAAATCGTCCATGGCACACCTTTTGAAACCACTATTCTAAGAAATTCTGTATTGCCGTAAATGTGTCTAAATGTGCCGTTACTGTTTCGAAGAGTGACCGTCGTGCTAGTGTCAGAA